GATAATCATGCAAATGTTTAAAATAATTTTTTTATACCATCAATGGGCTGACATATTGTTATACAATCCTAGGCGTACAAGCCTTAGGTTACTTTATATATATATATATATATATATACTATTATTAATTATTAATTTAAAATATATTCATGTGGATGTCAAGTAGTATACTTCCTCGAGTTTTTTATATTGCTCACCTGGAAGAAATGGATGGTCCAATATATTAGTCATGGAGTGGAATACTAATTAATTTCTTCATAATTATATTTCCCCTCTTCCGATCATTTACAACTACATTTAATTATTAGAGAGAATTTTTTTATCAATTCATGCTGGCAAAATTGGAAAAATATTTCATTTATAGATAATATTAATAACTTAACTAGTTTCAAACAGAGGTTACAGGTCACTTGTATAAAAAATTAGAGGGTATACAGTATAAAAAAATTTTAAAATTTCAATTACAAATACTGTTATTGACTAAATTATCTCTCTTTAGTTTTAATGAAATAGTTAAATGACTTGTATAAAGTAGTTACAATTGTTAAGAACACGTTAGAGGTAAAAAAAATGGGCTAGCTCAAACCTTAAAAGGTTAGCTTTTTTGGGCTTGAATCTAAAAAAGCCAGCTCATTTAAATTCATTAATCTTTCAAGATTCTCATGTGCTAAGCCTGACTCTTAGCATTGTGGACTCAAGGTTGGCCCATGGGGTTTCGAGCCCTTTTACTATTTTTTTATATATTTTTTATCAAACTAAAAATACTTTAAAAAGTTTAAATGGGTTTAAATGAGCTTAGAAAGTTTAGTTTAAAATTTTTTGATAAAAAAATTTAAAAAATAGATGCAAACTTCAATGGGCAACCCTTTGCCCATTCAAGCTAACCCATTTAAGCGTACTTAAAATGGGTCCATTAGAGCTGGTCCATTTTGTGATTTCAAAATCCTATATGTATGCTCAGCATTCCTATTAAACAGACTTAAATAGATAAGCTTATTGAGCTTGGCTCGTTTTTCTTGCTCAAACTATAAGTAGATATTAGCGGTGAAAAATAAGTCAAATCAAGCCAAATTTTGGCCAAACGGACTTACGCTTACAAAGTAGGCTTTATAAATAGGCTTTAAAGACATTAAAGAGGCTTTAGTCGTTAAAGCCTACAGTTAACCTAATAGATGTAATATGTATTAATCATTAACTTTAACTATTTAAACAATAATATAATTACACACACATACCCATATGTGTATATATATATCACACCTCAAAAATTAAGCTTGATTGGTACAGAATGTATGCATAAATAGACATCCCTTGAGATTTGATTAAGAAATCTCTAATCTAATATTTAAGTTAATATGAAATACAATTTGGAAATTATTGAAACATTTTGCTTTAGACAAAAAGCTTCCTAAACTTTCAGTAGGACTTCCCTTATAAATAAAACCTCCTAAAGTCTTTACATTAGCCATATATAGCCCAAATAAAAAATGCGGAGCACTGCTCCTCCATAACAAATAGAGGAATAGATTATACATAATAATCTTACCTATAATTAACATGGAGCAACTAATCATAAATTCAAAATATAACACATAATTAAGTATTTATATCAAAAAGAATGTATCCTCAAAGATCTTCTAATCAATCTAGCAATGAGTCCTCAAAAGTCAACAGAAGGTACAACGTCAATTATGTTATCTGAAATCAAATAAATGCTTTCTAGTGAACAATGTCCCAATATTAATAAAATTTAAAATAAAATGAATAAATGAAAATAATTATATAAATTAAAGAGACAACAATTTCACATAAAATATTTTATAAACTTTGAACATAAGAGATTTCATATAGCTTTAAGTAAAATCTTAGACCATTAATTTTATAATATCAAATATTCTTATCACTTGATCTCAAGAAGACAAATAATTAAAATAAATAAATATAGTAACATTTACTAATTTAAATCAAAGAAGTATGAAATCACCAAATAATTAAAAACCATATCTTCAGAGACTCAAGAGAACAATTAACAAATGTGGACACATAATCCACAAGATTAAATAACTTAATGTGATTTAAACTACAAAACAGATGTGAACACACAATTTACGAGAGTAACTAACTAAATATAGTTGAAGTCACGAAACTGATGCAAGTACGAGACTCATAAATAACAGACATGAGAATAAAGCCCACAAAAATCAAACTAGCTAATCATTGGCCAAGGTGTGCCAAGGGCTAACATGACTATCGTTATCAATCAGTATTCTGTATAAAGTCCCTTCAAAACCAATTTTCAAACATATGAGAAAATAATCATTATCAAAATAAAATTTTCTTTTCAATATCAAATTTGCATGAATCATTAAAAATATCAATCCTTTGAAATATGAAAATTTATGATTAACATCTCATAAATTTCTTCACCATTTTTCATGATTGTCTTTATATTGCTAGAACTTGTAGTAGCATTTTCATACATTTGATAAGCATATGTCATGACTGTAAATTGTTGAAAATAATATTTTAATAAAAATAAATTAGCTCATAACTTAATTGGGCTAATATTTACTTGTCCGAAACATTCTCAAGCACATGACTTTCTTTTAGTTTTAATTAGCCACTATGTAATATCGCCTGCGCCTTAATTTCCGATAAAACAAGGACACATGAAGAGCAGGAATCTAAACTCCCGTCACCGGAACTGTAGCCATGAAAGGGAAAGAAGGGTTTGAAGCAGAAAACAGGCGAGGAAGAAGAAGAACCTGCAAGTCCCCATGGTGACCTTCAACACTAATGAAACAGACTCTTCCGTGCACCCACAGTGAAGCGTCAAAGAAACAAGGGAAGAAGAGAGGAGATCGGCACAGAACAAGGGAAGACAAGGAAGAGGTTGCTATCTGGTCGGCATTCCAACAATGGCAGATCTCGCTCCTCTCACACACCCTGGCGCAGGGAAAAAGGAAGAACAAAGGAGGAAGAAGACGAAGGGAGAGATGGGATGGAGGGATGATGCCTCTGGAATTCTCTTTCGCCCTCTGCTCGAACGCTGCATCCCCCAAGTGCAAAGGAATGGAAGGGAGAAAAATATAAAAAGGAACCATGCTCTCTCCTTTCTTCTTTTATTTTATTATTTTTTTTAGGGCATTATGGTAATTTTGAAAACCGAATTCAGGAACCAAATGTAGGCAACAAACATGGGTTACACTAAGCAACTCATTTCCTGTTGCATCTATTCCACGTTTTTTTTTTAATAAAATATCATCAAAATCCATTTTTATTAATTTCAAAATTAATTATTTTCAGGCTCATTACAATATAGGCCTGACCATGAGACTTGTTCAGCCTATTTACTTGATGGGCCAGGTCAAACTCAATCGCTAGTAGAGATCTATATGAAAACTTATTGTATAATCTTTGATAGGCATGAGTGTAAAAGAGAAAGAGGTTTTTAATATAATGTGATTTATTTTTATTCAAGTTTTTATAAGTTAGAAGTGAAAAGAAAAAAAAATTACCTGGGGACATTTGATTCTAATTGAGAAAGTTAAATCAATTTATTTCTCCAAATTTTTTAGAATACCGAGCAACAGAATCAAGAAAAAAGAAATACTTTTTAAGATATTAAGTATTCAATAGTGAGCCTTATTGTGTGTGCGCGTGTGCGTTTGTGATTCTGAAAAGAAATATTAGATAATGAAAATAGGAAAATGGTAAAATTATAAGAAAGTAATAATCTATCTTTTAATGGGGGGTAAAAAGACTTGATAAAAATACAATTAATTTCTTATAGAAGGTGACTTGTATAAAAGAAATATCAAAGAAAATACTCATTTTTTCTAATTGTCATTCTTTAATACAAATAATTTTTTTTGGTAAATATTACCAATAATTAGTTATTTCTTCAAAATTCTAAGGATTATTGTTTTTATAATTAGGTGATTTTGATATACTACTAGTACATTTTGGATAAAAAGACATTAATTACCTATAAAAATCTATAAATCACCTTTTATATATTGAAAGCTAGGACTTCTAAGGAAAAATGTCTTCTAATATGAAAGAGGTAAAATATCAAACATAAGAGTAAAAAACTAGTCTTGCCTCAAGCCAATGATTTTATAGAAGTGTCATTAAAGATGTTTCTAGACATGAAATATGAAATAGGAACAGATAAGATTATATATGAAACAATGAAATGCAAATACAGTTAAGATGGGCTTCAACTATCTTTCATTGAATTCAATTATTGAACCCATATCCCACTCCATTTACCTTGAATATTCATTTGCATTCACCACTTGATTTACTTTCATTTCCGCTTCAATTATAAGGGGCAGAAAAGACTTTCTCCTCGTATCCCTAAAAACAGAAAAGAAAAGGGAAAAAGAAAAGACTTTCTCCCATTTAGTTAGCCACAACTTCCAAGGGAAGACCCTGCCTGTCAAATTCTATCTTCAATCACTTATCTTCCTCCACATGGATCATACTGTACTTGATCAATGCAAAGCCTTAGTGATCCCCTAGTTATAAGTGATTTTTAATCTTGTCATAATATACTTCCATCATGCAAGAATCTATGATCTCATGTCTGAGGGCATATACAGTAACACAACTATAATAAGATTCAGGAAAAATTACATATAGATCCCATATAAAAAAATTAATTATTATATGATCTATTAATAATTGAGCTAAAATCATTAACAACACATTAATGACCTTAGTTCAATTGTTAATGGACCTTATAATAATTAATTTTCTTACATGGGATTTTAATATAATTTTCCTTAAGATATACTTATCACCAAATTCATGTGAGCCTATCCCATGATAGGTTTTTTATGTGCCTTGGTCTCCAACACGTGCATGTGATTCCGTCATTTTGATTTGCATTTCCTTATGTGATATCTCATGTCTATCAAACAAAATCATACCAATCCTTATTCATTATTGTTCTCACAATAATACACTAATGATTGCCATGAGACATCGACAATAATTCTACAAATATTCATAGATCCTTATTATAAAATAATCATGACAGAATTATGATGATAATAAAGCTCGATTAAAAACAAACAACCTATATGCAACATACGATTAGCTTCACAATTACTATAAGAATGCAATGCAAAAATGTACTATATACTTTGGGAAGTAACCATGCCTATCTACCAGAATGACCTATCTACTTCACTTCTTCCCCGAATCGGGTGGTGAGATGGTCAAAAGCGCAACACGAAATTTCTTCTCACCCTTCGAGTTCCAGAGGGTTGGAATTTTCTTCAAAACCTAAAAGGTTAACATCAATGAAAAATTATGAGTTGTCATCAGAAACTGATGGATTTGCTATATTTAGTTAGTTTAAATATATATATATATATATAAATATTTTATGGATATCAAGCATGTAGATTTTCTAGTATACATTTCATTTCATTTAATGGACAAATATGCCTCACAATAGGATAATGAAATCATTGCGCAATTCTGTTAAGCTTTAACCTGAGGCATCGTGCACAACTTGCAATGTATATGTATGACATTAACACATCATCAAAATCTTGATGGATGCCGCAAAGATAAAGACGCCTACGAATCTACGATGTCAAACACAAGCAATGAGAACTGAGAAGAATGAGACGACAGAAGGCACAAAAATTGACAGGCAAGCAGACGGTATAGGTTTGATGTCCATATACTATATCCATTCACCAAACAATTATCCGACAAATTTATTCAAGTGAACTCCACCATGACAACAATCATGTAGAGTAGGTAACTGATACGACAACAACAACAACAACAAACAACAACAACAAGCCTTTATCCCACTAGGTGGGGTCGGCTACATGGATTGCAAGACGCCATTGTGCTCTATCATTTATTAAGCTTTTAGAAATATTATTAATTAAGAGATCACGTTCAACAACTTCCAAGGTAACTGATACGAGCAATGCACTATTTTCAAAGAAAAAGTTAGGCTTTATATATGGTTCAATACCGTGTGACAACAACTAACTCGCCCAACTTGAGCAATTGGATGCAGTGTAATGCTATGGCAAAAGGTTGTTGAAGAGTAAAATGAGAGACAGCCATGAGAAAGATATATGGGTAGATCCAGAAGAAAGGTTGGGAAAGGAAGTGCTTCAAGAGAATATGAATCATAACAAGCCATAACCCTCCTCAACCAAGAAAAACAATATCTTCTATCGGACTGCACAAAGCTTAAAGGAGTGTGGGATGACATGTGGCCGCTGGCACCATGACTGAGATGCATATGCAGTGGGTGCATTTGTGACACGCAAATGCAGGTGACTGAAATGAAGGAAAGGGAACAATTGATTTCTTAACAGGACTCAATGAAGCATTTGGAACCATCAAAAGTTCAATTCTTGCAATGAAACCATTGCCCAGCCTTGCAACTAAGGATGAGCAGCAGTGGGAAATTTCAGCCACGAACAAATCTATATACCAAAAGCCTTCGCCTTTCAAGCTCAAGGCACTCACTATGAGAAAGATATGATTGATTGAAAAAAGTAAAAGAAAGATAAGCTACAATGTAACCATTGTCAAAAGTTGGGACACGCTGAGGATCACTGTTTAGAAATAATTGGGCATTCATCGGATTTCAGAAAGGGAATTCAGGATAGAAAAGTGAAGCCAACCACTAAAACTGGACAAAAAGTAGTGTAAGTTAATTCATGTGAAAGCCCAATAGTAGGATTAATAGAGGCTGCTATGAATACACTACTAAGAATGCTAGCTCCCAAAGCCAATCTGCTCAACCCAATGCAGATAAGGCTAGTAAAAATTCCAGCATAGGCCTATGAGTTATCAATTATAGGGCAACCAAGCACATTACTTGTGACTGTGACCTCAAAAAGAATCAAGAAAGACCACCAAGCACAGACCAATCCAAATTTCAAATGGACAGTGTCTACTAGATGAGGGTGTTGGAGGAGCCAAGGCGCAATGCTGTTTTGAATATTCCAATGAAATTTACATTCAAAGCTGACGAGAAAGCATAAATTTACAGACCTTAACTGCAAGGACATGGTTAGAGTAGGCAATGTGACAGTTTATACATCCTAGAGCCAGTACAAGATGAAGGGTAGTTATGGTAGTCGACAAGGCAAGCAACCCAAAAATTTGGCACCAGAGATTGGGTTGTGCATCAGGAGAAATCATGAGTTAATGGACAAAGCATGTTGAGATGGATTGTTATTATGTAAGAGCAAGGAAATATTAAGGAGAAATCACAAACACATGGACAAGAAACTAACTAGGTGAATGCATGAAAATATTGGACTTGGCTTCTCTCCATTTTTTCCCTTTTCCATTTCCTCTCCACTTTCCATCTCAACCGTTGGATTCATTTTTGAACGGTTGAGATTTGATGTTTCATAAAATTATTAAAATGTAAAACTTTATAAAAAATAAATATAATAATAATAATTTTATGAAACATCAAATCTCAACCGTTCAAAAATGAATCCAACGGTTGAGATGGGAAGTGGAGAGGAAGTGGAGAGAGAAAAAAATGAAGAGAATCTGGATCCGAAAATATTTTGCAGATATCAGTAAACATTTTCACGTACTATTTTATTTTATTCTACGTCAAGTTACGTGACACAATAGGATAATGAAAAATATTGCAATTCTGCTAAGATTTTGATTGAGACATTGTGGATGGCTCACAATTTCTGATGCACATCATGGTCCAAAAATAAAAAAAAAAAGCAATTTTAGGTCAAGGGGCTTAATTATAAACATGGATAATTTTCTCTTTCACAGAATAAAAATAATTACTCATAAAGGAAAAGGAAGAAGAAAAATCAATTGTAGAAATTGAAGAATTATTACCCCATTGGGCCTTGGGCAAAGATGTTTTGGAATTGTAACATCTCTCACTCCATCAACTTTCATTCCGCATATTGCTTTATCAAATCCTACTTGAGATAATGAGAATAATCAGCCGCACAATCAAGGAAGCTAATTCTTTCATATAATAAGCTTTTTTTTTTCCCTTAAATTAAATTGTTATTTTATTGTTAGACTGATCAGGTTAAATCAATAGTCTTATGTTATGGAGAAGTTAATTTTATATATCAATTAAATGGAAAAAGGAGCATGTCAATTAATGTCAAAGAAATCATTAATAGTTGTTTAACAAAACACATCATAAATAATTTAACCAAAATACAAAGAAACTTGGTCTTATTAAGTTGTGGCCACAACATAAACAGCAGCAATCAAATTCATATTTTTACCATTTTGTCCTTGACCCAAAATCAGTTCCAAAATGCCCCATCCACTTCCAGGCTCATCTTTCTTACCGAGAGGTATGTATTTGATTCTTACCTATAATTGAATATAAACATTATTATTCAATTGAAAATTAGGGGAAAAAAAACTATATCAGTAGAACTTCACATTAATTTATGTCCATGGACAGAGTTAAAAAAAAATGATGGATTACAATATATAGCAACCAAAAAAGAGGAAAAGAATGAACATCACCTTATCCCCAGTTCTGGCCACTTGATTACCTAGGCCGTTTATCTTATCATGGGGGTCTGCATATGTAAGTTAACCAAGAATAAGTCACAAGTTATGTCTTTACCATTCCCATAATCACTAATATGAATATAGTTTAAGTTTTATTTAACAGTTAAAACCCATCATTTGGCGTACAGTTTGACCTCCCAAACAAATGGAAGTCCAAGAACAAATCTAATCACATTTTAAATTATTCATTTTCTTAAGTTCTTGAAGGCCTAAGGGAATGTACAATCATTTTGGCGGGCATAAGGCAATATAATGGCCTAAATGGCCTTGGCAAAAAGGACAAACCAATATCTTAGGATCCAAAAAATTATGTCAAAGTTGTAACATAAAACAAAAGATCGCCTGATGGAATATAAGAATTAATATATTTTGAAGAAGCTTGCTATAAGAGGAAATCTATCTTAATTTTATATTTTATTGCTTTTTGTTTTTTACTCTATTTAGCAAGTGGGCTATTTTATCACTTCATCTATTACATGAGCTGCAAGTAGATATTTCCTTATAGGGAAGGAAACCTCAAGATTATATTTCATTTTGTGTTATGTTTCTTTCATATGAAGGAAACCCCAATTGTGGCTTGTATAAAAAGCCACCATGCAGCACATGTAAAGGAGTTCTTAGATTGGATGAATGAATTTCTGAAGTTATTGTGAATGCTCTCTTTCTCAACTCTACGTCTCTCTCCCTTTGCTCCCCCTCCCTATCAGTTACGCATCTCTCTTCTCTCCCTCTGTTCCTGTCTCCTCTTTAACACTCTCTCTTTTTGTTTCTTCTCTCACTCCTCCCTCTGTTCAGATCTGTAATAGTGTGTGTGTTGCATCAACGCCTAAAACAGTAATAATCATTAACCACAAATTATTAAATTGAGGAGAAATGGAATAAATACCTCCTTGAGTACGTCCTTTATCAAATGACGCTAGATGCCTGTTTGGCCTATACAAACGACAATGAAAGTTGTATTCTAAATAGAAAAATGTACCTGAAGAGAAAACAACTTATGCATAGCTGAATAAAGATAATAATTATTTCATCATAAAAAGTGTTTGCATAAAATGTACTTTGATGCATAATCTAGTCATACCAACACACACACATGATCTAATCAGAAAGGTCTGCACTATATATAAAATGATCATAAGTTCAAAAAAAATTTTCAAACTAAATAATTATCAGATCTGCCAGCACCAAACTTGCAGAGATGTGAATGTAGTTACTCTTTAGTTAGTGGGACCTTGACTGAGTTAACACATCAACTCAGCATTCAAATAGTGCTGGAACAGACTCAGAAGATAAAGAAGAGGGGAAATAACAGTTGATTCCCAAAAGCACAATTTAATGAATGTTAGGTCCTTGGAAAAATTTACTAAACGATGGTTGCAAATGAAAATATTAGTTGGAAATTGAAAGTTACATTTGAAATTTAAATGATCGATTTGCAACCTGTACAACTGAATTTGAAATTCAAAAAGTTTTCTTGGGATCTGACTATCCTTCCCCTAAACAAAACAGCAGTAAAGAGGCTCAAGGCCCAAAAAACAACAAACAAAAAGACAGAAACCAGAAAAAAACAGTACAGAGACTTGAACCAACCCTCAGCCCCTTTCAAAAGGGAATCAAAAGCTGTCTGAGAGACAAATCAGTCTGACCTTCTCCGACATTTCATGCCACGCCTAAAAACCCATACTCAGATCCAAGCTATACCCAACCAAAGTGTCCGCGCATTGATTACCTTCATAAGGCACATAGGTAATCCTTGTATTCCAATCCTCTCTCCTCCAGTCCTTATCGTTCACCTGCAGTCTGACTCTACTCTCATTGCTCTCCAAGCCTTCAATTTGTCTCAACACACCTTGAGAATCAACTTCTACCACCACCCTTCTGAATCCAGCTTCCCAACAAAGCTTCAATCCTTCCAACATGCCCCAAAGTTCAGCTTGAGCAGCCACCCAAATTCTTCAAAAAACCCAGTAGCCACATACCCTTCCAGTCTCATACGATACCACATCTCCTACCAAGGGCTCACAGCCCCTACAAACTCCATCCGTGTTGACCTTCACCCTTCCCTTCTCAGGGAAGACCAGCAAACGAGCTCAACGATTCTTGTCTGCTGCACAGAGGAGTTAGCTTCAAATCTGACTCTGCACATATTATGACTAGAACTGAGGATCAGCCAACAAACTTCCTCCACCCTTCTCTCCCTTTCCTCCTTTCTAAAGATCCTCCTATTCCTTTCTTTCCAAATAATCCAGCAAGCCACACCAAAGATGACTCTCCACTCAATCCTTTCAACCTTCACTCTACTAAGCTTCAGGTTAGATCTAGCCCAGCTCTTCATATCCTCACCAAAAAAATTACTCAGCAATTCTGGAGAAAATAGGTAAATCCAAATGACAGAGGCCTTGCTGCAATTCCTCAACATGTGTATCACAGATTCTGGCTCCCCACAAAAGCCACAGCCCTGAGCCACACCCAACCTATGACATTTGTATGAAATCTATTGTGAATAGCAAGCCAAAAGAATCACTAGATTCTCTCAATTCCGTGTCATTTCCAAGTCAAATTCCATGCCTTACTAGCTTGCCCCAGTTTATCTCTAAACAACAACTTATATCAGCATCCTCCTCCTCATCAGGAGGTAGCAGCGCACGAAGTCCCCTTTTAACATTCTCAGGTAGTACATTCTCCAGAATCTCCCACTTCCATTCACCCTCGTCATTAACTGCTTCAGCAACCTTCCAATATCAATGAGAATTGGAGAATTGCATATTTATATCTCTCTATTTCCTTTCTCGCTTTTTTCCCCTCTCTTTCTCTCTCTTTCCAATCTAAATTCTATAACATTGCAAATCGAAAGTTACATTTAAAATTTAGATGATTCATTTGACCCATACTGCTGAATTTGCAGTTGCTTGAAATGACATCTACCACTTATTTAAAAAAAAAAAAAAATTTCTTGGATCTAACTGTCATTCCCCTGAAAAAAAAAAAAAAAAAACCCAGCATGGAGAGAAACAAATATTTACTTGATCATAAGAAAAATTCTATCTATATCTGAATAATGATATATATATATATATATATAATCGACTCTAACGTCATGGCCTTTTCCTTCTGCTCTTAAATCTCATGCTGTTTAACAACTCAACTGAGTGTTGATATACTGGATTGTACTGAAGAGATTGACTATTTTTATCGTTGGAAAGGGAACTTTAACTTAGTAAACTTTAAGACCTGGACAGATATCTGTTTTCTGCAAATCCTAAAAGAGAATGAACACACCTCATGCCGTGCTTCAATCCCTGGCTGTGTATGCTTTTTTGCAAATGGATTCAACTCTACGGCGATGGAAACGAAAGAAAGGCAGGACAACAGAACAAAGCCCATCATTTCGTTTGCATTCCAAATATTTGATCCAAACTCAGCTGTGAATGGAAAACAGAATTCGAAAATTTGAAAAATATATGTACCTGGGACGAAGACGGGGGAGCCGTCGGCGGTGACTGGAGGTGCACTAGACGGCGGCGGGAACGACCAAGAGGAGAAGAAACGACGAACCAGAGAGCCGCGCCCTCACTAGACGTACTGGCGAACAGGAGGAAGCCAATGCAGAGAACAGGCGGGGTTTATGGGCGCATGGGAATGAGGCTAAATAATAAATTAATAAATAAATAATCGTCACTCGTGAGAAAATTCAATTCAGGTGCCCGCATTTTTGGCTAAGGTCTAAAGACGCTCAGAATAAGGACTGATGATTTTTATATTCTGTAACTCATAAGATTTGTTCTCAACCTCAAAAACATCCCTTATGCCTTGATTTGTACAACAGTAGGGTTTCTGATTTGTTAAAAATCATTCAGTTAAAGGTAAGACTAATATACTCAACTTTATCGAAAAATTATTCTTCAATTTTATATACTTTTAATTATATATTTATGACTGAAATATATAAAACTTTTTATGAATTTTGAAGCACATAAGCTAAATTCCACTGTTACATAAATTAGGAAAAATGACAATAAAATTTCTTTGAAATATATAAATGATAATTTGGTCCATCAAAATGTCATAATTTTTTTGAATTTTTTTAAGGATCTTTCTGTCATTAATAAATTTATATAAATTACCAAATTGTCTTTTTGAAAATAAATCATTTATAAATTTTATTTAAATACTCACAACTTTCTTTCTTATATTCGCAACAATGCAACAGTAAATTACAACTTCACATGTTAAATTACTTATTTATTATTGTATTGTTGCGAATATAAGAAGAAAAGTTGTGAATATTTAAACAAAAATTGTGAATCATTTATTTTTAAAAAAGATGATTTAGTAATTTATATAAATTTATTAATGATAGAAAGTCTCTAAGAATTTTAAAAAAATTATGACATTTTAAAAGATTAACTTGTCATTTATATATTTTAGAGAGATTTTATTATCATTTTTTCTATAAATTATTACATACTTTTTAATATGACATGATAACTTCTATTAATAAAATAATAAAAAAATGTGATAAAAATAAAAGGTTAAGAAGATACATATTTTAGCTAATTTTTTTTATTAATATTTTTAAATGAACTTAAACTTTCTAAATCGAAACCACATTTTTAATATTATGTTTTATTTTAAAATTTACTTCCACAAATCTTGATTGTATACTACACAATTTTTCTCCTATGCACCTATGAAAAGATTTGTACCATCCACATTTAGTCAAGACAATTTATATGTTCTCCAATTTGCAGAGGAGAGGCAAAGGAGGCACGGCGCAGAGAAGGAAGCCGTGTCCTAACGAGCATACGTTGAGCAGGTTGATGTCTTGATGAAACTTTTTGGCCGGATATGTTGATAGAATTGATGTATTAATTTTATTTGAAGTATATATTTATATTAGGAAAAAGCTATAATAGCCATAAAATTAAATAAACAAATAAATAATCCAACCCTTGACAGTCGAACACTCCCCATCGTTTGCCACCTTCCACAAAGCTCCGCCGCCGTCAATTGCTCCATTAACAATTGATCAATGGAATCTGGAAAAATAGAAAAATCATTACCAGTGAAGAAGAAGAACCCATAAACTATTAACATAACTGATATTTTCATATATATGAGGGGAAAAAATGAAACAAAGAACGACCACCTAAAGCAAAGACGATGAAGACGCAGGAACTACTGCACCATGAAACCTTTGTCGAAGACAACGATAAAGATCCTAGAACCTACGGCGTTGAACGTTGAACCAGAAATTGCTCGCTTGCTCTAGAAACAGCCTCCACTGAAACCAAACATTTTCAAAAGAAGAAACCTTTTGAGAGAATTACTAGAGCTAGCTTCCACACTAATTAACACAAAATGGAGGAAAGTGAAGTAGTGCTTACTTTTACCACAAATTTTCGCATCGAACTCATTATATTTCGCAAAGATCTATGTGATTGACCAACTTCCAGCTGCAGTTCCGGCCACCTCACATCGTGAAAATTGTCTTCTGGCTTCAGAATAAAGCTTGTCGCCCAAAACATTTAAGCAAAAGTCCTTCTTGAGACTTTTTATAAGCCGTCGCCTAAAACGGTGAACTGTTGTTCTTTTAATCTCATTTTGTAGGTACCTCTAGAGTTAGGATTGAGCATGTAGTTCTTGATTTCTTCTCTCTATTCTGCAGCCGCTTCCTGATCCTAATTTACTGAGAATACTGGCATAGCTCTGACCTGCATCGAGGGGTGTTCACTCTTTTGAACGACAATGATCTTGTGTTCTTCAAAGAACCAAACTCCTGAGGCAATCTGAGCCAAACTCGTTGGCCTCCCATTTGGTTTCTCTGGGTACGTGCGTAAATTCTACATATTTCGTCGATCTCTTGAATAATTTGGATAGTAGCAGCGAAGTAGTGTACCAATGCCAAGCTACTGCACTTGTATCCACGCTTCGTTGATGCAGCACCGGTTGAGGATCCCTTTCTATCTCAACTTCTTCACATCATCAAATGATCTACTGGCTTCAGAATCTTGCCGAGAGACCTCAATATAGCCCATCCAACAGCTGACACACTATTTTGCTGCAGTTTCATTTGCTTATGGCGCCTCGACAATCTTCCAGATTCCCAGTCAGAAACTCCGGGAAAAGTCGTGACTTAGGGATTGAAGGAAATTTTTGAATGTCTACAAGGAGACAATTGTCATCTTCAATAATCGATATTAGGTCATTTAAAAGGGGGGAAAAAAAAAGCATTCCTTTCGCCACATGCAGGCCATATATGTTCTTTTGTCCTCACTTTTGTCCTTGTCGTAGGATGAAGTTCATAGAAGTAAACGAATTTCATTGTCTAAATTTCGCAGACGGCAGAGATCCGAAGCAGAGGCTGATAACGAAGATGCCCCTATCGTCCTATTCGAGACAGCTGCACATATATCTTTCAGAACTCACATGATCTGATCTTTTGTCCCTCGGAAGCATCAGTAGCACTATATTTCATGTTTAAAATATATAAAATAATCTTCGAACCAGCTGGATGAAGCATGCTCTCTTGCTATTATATGAACTTTATATTTTATATTAATATTTAAAATTAATTTTTTCAAGGTGCTGGTCCCTAAGTTTTGAATTAATGGACCAACACATGGACACAACGTTGTTAAAAAATATATGAGGCGACTAGGTGGAATAACTAATGAGCTGGCAACACGATGGATGTGAGCATTTTCTTCTTCCTTGTTCAATTTTCATCCTCTTCCCTCCGCAAGTCACTCATGACATAATGCCATAGAAAGTCTTCGTTAAAGATTTATCTATCTGGTCTTTATTTTAAGCTCCCTCTAACTATCTAATAGGAATCCAGTGATATACATACCTTACCTACTTTTTTGCGTTAGAAAGATTACTCCAACTGTGCCATGGAAAGTCTTCGATAAAAAAAAAAAAAAATTACTTATTTTTGGTTTTCATTATAAGGTTGCTCCAACTATCTCATCAAAATCAAGCAATCTTTGTTAAATATTACTCCTTTTTTTGTAATATTATGAGGCATCTCTAACTTACCCACCTCTAGCCATAGTTAAATTATTAAATTTGTCTAAAAAATAGAATAAATATATAATTTTGTCCTCATTTAGATGAAATTTTTTTTAAATTTGCATTATATTCTCTCATACAGCTAATGAGTTTACATAGAGGTAATATTAAAAAAAATTTAATTAATACCTAATAATGTACCCATATTAAAGACAAAAATTGCTTCCAAAATTAAAGGTGGAGTTTTTTTTTTTTTAATTTAAACCAACAAAGATGGAGTTATTTTTTACCTTTGTTAGCGCAGGGAACGAGACATTCAATACATGGTTGGGTACAGGCTTCGGCTTTCCTGCAAACTGTTTGGTATTTATTTTTTAAAATATGCTTACATCAATTTAATTATATTTTACATGTATTCATTGCTCTCCGAAGTTAAAAATATCGCTTTCTATCTAGTGCCACTCATTTATATTATTTTTATAATTCAAATAAATGCATCTTGCTGATTGCAATGTTTTTTTTAATACATAACAGAATCTTAATTGTAATGTTGTTTCACTAGTCTATCTATCTAGTACGCCTTTCAACCCAATTTATAAAATACTTTTGAAGATGATTCAATTTCCTAAAATATAGTAAGACACTTTGATAAAAATAAGTTTTCATTAGTTATATTTCTTTTAATATTATCTATCTCTCTTTAGAATATTTTTTTCTTTATATTTAATGTTTCACAAATGCGATTTTTTCTAAATAAAGAGTATTTTTAAAAATTTATGTTTGTTAGGAGAGGGAGGTATGCCTCCAAATCTCCCAATTTGGAGGGGTGAGTTGAGAGGGGATTAAAATTTTCCCTCTCATTCCTTTCATTATAATAAAAAGAGGCCTCAATTTTCCCATCAAAACAAAGGGGGGGGGAAAGCAGGGTGTTTTTCTTCTTATTTTACATAAATCGGCTCAATACTCTCCTCATCTTTCCTTTTTTTAAAGTATCATAAAGTCATGCAAACCATATACCATCGAGGGTTACTTACAACATGTACCCAAAATCACCTTCTTCTTATCTCAACAGAAAAAAAAAAAAAGATTTTTGGCAGTGACTTTGTCCAAAAGTCACCACTAAAGATATATTTTTTGCAACAACTATATTTGTTGTCACCAAAAACTATTAACGACAAAACTTTTGATGATAACTTTTGGCGACGAAAAGTTATCACTACAAACCTTTAACGGCAACAGTTGCCGCCAAAAGTTA